CTCTATCATCCCTGCCAGGCGGGGTGTATTCCGTCTATATAAACACATCATCCTGGGGCCAGTTGTTCAAAGCTGGGTTAGCTTAACCGTAGGTTAACCTAAAATTCAAAGCTAACTTCCTGACAGCTTGTCTATAAATTTGAAAATATTTTTTCAGAGATCTTGTCTGGATTGATAGGAGTTTTCTTCTCTGAAGTTTTGAAATAAACAGACGTGCAAAAATACACAAACTAAAACAGCAGGTTAAATTTTAACCTAGGGTTAGCGTTAACCCACCTTTGAACAACCGGCCCCTGGATTAAAACCTCCTGTCCAGCCATGCCATTATCACATAAACAGGCACATATTGTTAAAAACCTGGTGTTAGACAAGTGAAAAAAAGTAGGGGCACATTCTGGCTGAATGGGTTAAATGCTTAATTTAAAGTCAATCCCATTTACATGCTAAAACCAAGAAATATGCACTGAATTGATAATCTTAATAATCAATTCTATATATTGGGCTAACAATTTTATGATTCAAATAGATAAGATTGCGATTTACTCAAGTTTAATACTCTCAAATAATGTTCATGTTTTGCCTTTAATACTGGACTTGTAGCAATCAGCAATGTAGCCATATTTATATTCATATTAACATATTGTTTTATATACTATGTATGTGGGTTCAAACATGCTTTCTCGAGTTTTGTCAAACAAGTGAAACCCAGTATTTACTATGTGTTTATTCAAAATTTGAATTGTTCATTTTAACTAACATTTGACGGCATTGAAATGAAATAATTCAATATATAAAACCTCGCGCGCAAATTCAAATTTTAGCAGCCACAACACTACAACAGGCCAAAAGCCACAAAATAAAATGGGTAAATACGGTCGATGTACGTTATAATTATATGATATAAACAATAATATTTCATACCTTAGATCAATAAGCCTTCGGCAGGATTCGGAGTCACTTATCCAGTACAAAATAAGATAAATACCATGGACTCTTCTTGGGCAAAATATACTCAAACGAAAAAGTCGAAAATTTGCAAATCACACTTGAAATTTGATACACGATATCACAGTTTAATGATATTCAGTTGTGTAACTCGCGGAATTTCCTGTCCCCCAAGGTTAATGCGCATGCGCGAAGCAAAAGACCGTGTCATGTGTTTTTTTTGTCTGGAAGCATATGGGAAAATACAAAATTTGGACACTAAAACAACGATTTCAAAGAATATATCCATCAGGAATGCTGGACTTTCACAAATTTTGCAGGAAGGGATGTCATTCTAAATTTTCGACAAGAAAATGCCTTTAAGAATCGGTTGATATCGACAAAAAATGAAATTATATGACTCGAGGAGTGAGAAGTGCCATGGCCCATGACGTCCATGCTTCAAATGTGAATACGAAAAACAAAGACAAAGTTTCAGAAACTATAAAGCATGTACACTTAAAAGTACTACATTCTGGGAATAACGGTGTATGTTTGAAAATATTGTTTGGTTTTTGGTCAACGCTGAGCCTGAAGCCTCGATGATGAAGTTTTTCGATTGTTCGAACGTCAAGAACCCTTGCCAGTTTCGGGTGAGTTTCTTTACTGTTCGTGTTGTTTTGGCATGGAAGTTGCAGAATAGTTTGGACTTAGGTTAGGGGGCTATATTTTAAACCAATGTAAAATTGATTTCTTTTATACTTTGTCTTTTTTAAGTTTAAAGCCGTTTCCTGCAGACACGAAGAACACAGACTGCGGAGATTTTAGCCACTACAAATCAATTTAACCACGAAGAGGAATTAGGTTTTTAAATTTTTAAAAACAAATCAAATGACTTTACAACATTCTAAAAGGACAACTATATGAGAAAGGTTGTATGCTTGGTTTTCTTCAATATACACTACAGTAAAACAAAATGAGTTTTTAGAATTTAATGTAGAGAGTCTAATATTATAGTATCATATTATTTTTCAATTCTGTATAATCATATAATGATTTAGGTAGAATTACGTACTAAATAGTAAAATATATTAACGAAAACTATTGTTACCAGAGAAGTACCAGGCGGGAAACGAATTCTGATAATAAATATTAATGCCCAGCAAAGTGCTTTTAAAAGAGCCATAAACCATTAAATTTAAAAATTTTATTAAAGATTAAGTAACGTTTCGTCTTAACTCAAGACATCTTCAGACTATATTAAATTACAAGCTGTAAGAGTAATTAAGCATAAAGTAAAGCTATTATAGCAATATTAAATTACAAGCGAATACGAGGTACACAAAACGTAAGGATAAGAATGGATAATGAAGGGAAGTGACGGACAAAAATGAGAACAACCAAATTAGACAACACAAACAGACAAAACATAAAAAAAAAGAAAAAAAAAGAGATCAGAATACGTGAAGAGGGATTGAACTGCCTTGAACGTTGAGAGAGGGTTTCATTTTAGAGATAAAAAAGCTTTCATGAATAAGGAGTTCTTGTTCATCTGAACAAGAGGAGAGGATTTCGAAGTCGTCAATAGAAGCAGCGTGGCCTGTGGATGTGAGATGTGAGAAAATGCTGGACTGGGGAGGATTTTTACATTGTTTGCCAGTGATAGGAGTGATACCCAGATGTTCCGAAACTCGGGTGTGTAGATGGCGCGTGGTTTGACCCACATACGATGCGGAACAGCATCGACACGTAAAAGAGTACACTACACCCGACTTCAGTGCTTTGGGTATTTTGTCCTTAAAAGAGAAAAAGGTTGAGAGCCGTTTAGTTGATCGAAAGACAAATCTTATATCAAGATGTGGGAAAGCAGCACGACAAAGACGGTTGATTTGCGTGCGAATTTGCAAGGAGTGAGTGCCCGTAAAAGGGAGACAGAAATAAATTATTTTCTTAGGAACAGTATGAACAGGTAGCTTAGGTTGAAATACTTTGTTAAGAAAAGTTCTAACACATCGGTCGAACATATGAGAAGGGAAACCATTTAAGATAAACATTCTACGTGCTGCTTCAAGTTGGTGATGGAAAGTCTCATAGCTAGAACAAATGCTAAAGATGCGGTGTATTAAGCAAGATATTATGCTGCGTTTGTATGTAAGTGGAATGAAGCTATGGAAGTTAGTAAAAAGACCAGTAAACGTAGGTTTACGGTAAACAGAAGTAGAAAATTTTCCATTGGAGCGGGATATGTCAATGTCAAGAAATGGGAGCTTACCATCACGTTCAACCTCACTAGTGAAGCGAATGTTGGTGTGCTGGCGATTAAGATATGTGAGAAAGAGCTGTACATGCTCTGAGCAACGGAAAAGTAGGAAACAATCGTCAACATATCGTCTATAGAGAAGTGGTTTGAAAGACGAAGGACAGTTGTGAAGCCAATCCTTTTCGTGAAAGGACATAAATATGTTAGCAAACAAAGGTCCTAAAGGACTACCCATAGCTACGCCGTCAACTTGATGATATAAACGACCATTGAACACGAAATGACAATTTTTGACAGAAAGACTTAAGAGTTTAGTAAAATCAGAACGAGTGAGGCCATGAAATCTACAACAGTTAGAAAACAAACGATTAGTAATTATCTCAATCGTTTCATCAACAGGGATGTTAGTAAAGAGTGAAGTAACATCAAAACTAGCCATTATAACATTACTCGTATCAAGATCAGAAGAAAGAAGTTCCTGGACGAAAGAGAAGGAATCCTTAATGACATAAGTGCTGGTCGAGATGGGAGTGAGAAGAGGAATAAAGAATTTAGCAATATTATACGAATAATGATTAATGCAAGAAAGGATAGGCCTAAGTGGGATATTACATTTATGTGTTTTAGGTAGTCCATACAGGATGCCTAAGCGTGAACCTGTAGGATACAGTTCATTGTAAGTTTTTTGATCAATTGATTCAGACGCTTTCAGATTTTTCAGCAGAGTCTTGACATGATTTTCGCGCTGTAGTGTTGCTTTGACAGGATCTTCATTCAAGAGTTCAAATTTCGTGTTATCAGACAGGATTTCCTCCATTTTTTTGTTGTAATCATCTTTGTTTAGAATAACAACGCCGTTACCTTTATCAGGTCTCATTATCACGATGTTACTGTCTTTTCGTAAGTCATTTAGCATGTTGATCTCTTCTTTCGAGTATAAGAAATTCGGCCGACTATAGCTCCGGAAACCAGAATGAGCTATGTCTTTTATTCGGGTCTTAATAAATGCCGGGTAAAATCCAGAATGTTCATAAACCGGTTCTCGTTTAAGTTGAGAGAACAGTCTTTCAAATGGCGCAAAGAAACCGCACGGATTAAGCTTGGCAGGCGGAATGGCAAAGTTCAAACCTTTCGAAAGAATCTCCTTCTCTTTATCTGTGATGAGTCGGTTTGAGAAATTGAACACCACTGCATTCGGATCTATTGTGTTTGAGTGTTTTTGCTCAGCGTTTAGGCGAAATAACTTTCGATCTTGAACACGTTGATGCTGGTTCAATTTCTTTGAATTTTCACGATCGGAAATGTTCTTTAGGTGAATAAAATCAAGCGTAGAAACAAGTGAAGCCAGGTTCGCGTGTGTTGTTGTTACTTGCGCTGATAATATTCGTATTCTTGCGTGTTTGGCGTTGATTTCATCTTGTAACAGTTTGTTTTGACATTGTCTGTAGGCGCTGGATTTCCGCAAACGGCGATTCGCAACCTTGAACCACAGGAATCGTGGTATTACCGAGCCATTTTTTGCATGCTTTCAGAAATTCAAGATCTAGTTTGGCTTTACCCAACTTGAGCTCCAAGCGTTGAAATTTTCTGAAAGCTTCAAGTGCTCCATTATTGTAGCGGTTATTCAAAATTGTTACCAGAGAAGTACCAGGCGGGAAACGAATTCTGATAATAAATATTAATGCCCAGCAAAGTGCTTTTAAAAGAGCCATAAACCATTAAATTTAAAAATTTTATTAAAGATTTAGTAACGTTTCGTCTTAACTCAAGACATCTTCAGACTATATTAAATTACAAGCTGTAAGAGTAATTAAGCATAAAGTAAAGCTATCATAGCAATATTAAATTACAAGCGAATACGAGGTACACAAAACGTAAGAATAAGAATGGATAATGAAGGGAAATGACGGACAAAAATGAGAATATACAAATTAGACGACAACAGCACACCAACATTCGCTTCACTAGTGAGGTTGAACGTGATGGTAAGCTCCCATTTCTTGACATTGACATATCCCGCTCCAATGGAAAATTTTCTACTTCTGTTTACCGTAAACCTACGTTTACTGGTCTTTTTACTAACTTCCATAGCTTCATTCCGCTTACATACAAACGCAGCATAATATCTTGCTTAATACACCGCATCTTTAGCATTTGTTCTAGCTATGAGACTTTCCATCACCAACTTGAAGCAGCACGTAGAATGTTTATCTTAAATGGTTCCCCTTCTCATATGTTCGACCGATGCGTTAGAACATTTCTCAACAAAGTATTTCAACCTAAGCTACCTGTTCATATTGTTCCTAAGAAAATAATTTATTTCTGTCTCCCTTTTACGGGCACTCACTCCTTGCAAATTCGCATGCAAATCAACCGTCTTTGTCGTGCTGCTTTCCCACATCTTGATATAAGATTTGTCTTTCGATCAACTAAACGGCTCTCAACCTTTTTCTCTTTTAAGGACAAAATACCCAAAGCACTGAGGTCGGGTGTAGTGTACTCTTTTACGTGTCGATGCTGTTCCGCATCGTATGTGGGTCAAACCACGCGCCATCTACACACCCGAGTTTCGGAACATCTGGGGATCACTTCTATCACTGGCAAACAATGTAAAAATCCTCCCCAGTCCAGCATTTTCTCACATCTCACATCCACAGGCCACGCTGCTTCTATCGACGACTTCGAAATCCTCTCCTCTTGTTCAGATGAACAAGAACTCCTTATTCATGAAAGCTTTTTTATCTCTAAAATGAAACCCTCTCTCAACGTTCAAGGCAGTTCAATTCCTCTTCACGTATTCTGATTTCTTTTTTTATGTTTTGTCTGTTTATGTTGTCGTCTAATTTGTATATTCTCATTTTTGTCCGTCACTTCCCTTCATTATCCATTCTTATCCTTACGTTTTGTGTACCTCGTATTCGCTTGTAATTTAATATTGCTATGATAGCTTTACTTTATGCTTAATTACTCTTACAGCTTGTAATTTAATATAGTCTGAAGATGTCTTGAGTTAAGACGAAACGTTACTAAATCTTTAATAAAATTTTTAAATTTAATGGTTTATGGCTCTTTTAAAAGCACTTTGCTGGGCATTAATATTTATTATCAGAATTCGTTTCCCGCCTGGTACTTCTCTGGTAACAGTATTATTTATGTTATTGTTATGGAATGTAATGACTTATTTAGTTATTTTATACCCATGTATTTAATGTCCCAAATATTGGGACTTTGTTTGAATAAATTATAATTATTATTATTATAATTATAAAGAAATCCCCAAATTTTAACATTAAAACAGAATAAATTACAGAACTCACATTCACTGTCAACAGAATACAAAATCAGAATAGGGACATTTGTATTTTGACTGTAAGTCAAATGAAGACAGGTTAGGGGCTATTCCATTTAATATCCACACACCCCAGTAAAACTTTCCCCTTACCCTCAGAAAAATCACAGAGATCAAAGGATGCAGACAGGCTTAACCCCTCAGAAACGACCTTGAGTCGACCTTCAGAAAAATTCGTCCATAGGGGTGTGTGGACATTAAATGGATTGGCCTTAGACAGCAAAAATTGACAAAACATAATTAAGTTTGTTACGTTCACAAACTCCAAACTAATTAGTTGTGGAAATTGCTTAAAGATTTCATTCTTGAGCGACGTTTCATTCCACTCTTTGTTGAATGGAAATTCATGGCAAACTAGTTGCCTTTCTTCAAGCTTGACACGACTGCTATGTGTTGGCACTTTTACAAAAGCAGGACTAGGAAGGAGAACCAAGTCTTTGTGGAAAATCATTTTCTTAGGTCGTCCAGTTCCTCCAGCTTTCCGTGCTTTCGATTTAGCGACTCTGCCATTTCTTGCAGAATACTTATAGTTTGGCGACTAGCGATAGTTGGGAAACACGATTGAAGTCGTGACTGCATGGAATTATTAACATTTTGTGGCATTTGCCCACTCTGCTCAACTGTCTGCTGGGACAACTGGGTATTCGTAATCGAGCTTTGTTGCCTTTGATTCTCCGTCAATCGAGGAGATACGTTACTGGCAAAACCGGGCTGTAAATGACTTAAAGCTTGCAATGCTTTTGCAGCAGCCAAACAAGCTGAATTTGATATATGTATAGTATCCATTTTCTGGTATATATAACCACAGTTGCGACCACCAAACTATTAGGGATTTCCGCTGACCACATGAAAAAAGAGACTCATTGATCTATAATAATAAACTGGATGAATAACAAAATGGAGGACTTCGGAATTTTGTAATCATTATTAAAACAATTCTTAAATTATCCGAGAGAAACAATGGCTATAAAAAGATAAAAGAGCATAGAACTTTCTTTGAGAATGCTTGCTTAAATTAGTGATATTTTTTTTCATTCGCGGTACCGCGAACCACAAGAAAAATTATGTTTTAATGCCTCAATAAATCAAGTTTTTATATGACCATGGTTATATATACCGAAAACCGGTATACATTCTATTTCTAGATTCTGTATTGGTATGTGCATACTAAATTAAACCCTCATCCTCACCTAGATATATATCTCTAATCAAGTATTTATATGACCATGGTTATACATACCGAAAACCGGTGTACTTTCTATTTCTAGATTCTGTAGTGGTATGCCCATACTAAACTACACCTCATGCTCACCTAGATATATGTCTCTCATCAAGCTAGTAATTATACGACCATGGTTATACCGTACCGAAAACCGGTATACTTTATATTTCTAGACTCTGTAATGGTATGCGCATACTAAACTACACCCTCATGCTCACCGAGATATTTGTCTCTAATCGCGTATTTATACGACCATGGTTATATATACCGAAAACCGGTATACTTTCTATTTCTAGATTCTGTAGCAGTATGTCCATACGAAACTACACCCTCGTCCTCACCTAGATATTTGTCTCTAATCAAGTATTTATATGACCATGGTTATATATACCGAAAACCGGTATACTTTCTATTTCTAGATTCTGTAGTGGTATGCCCATACTAAACTACACCCTCATCCTCACCTAGATATTTGTCTCTAATCAAGTATTTATATGACCATGGTTATATATACCGAAAACCGGTATACTTTCTATTTCTAGATTCTGTAGTGGTATATACTAAACTACACCCTCATCCTCACCTAGATATTTGTCCCTAATCAAGTATTTATATGAGCATGGTTATATATACCGAAAACCGGTATACTTTCTATTTCTAGATTCTGTAGTGGTATGCCCATACTAAACTACACCCTCATCCTCACCCAGATTTTGTCTCTAATCAAGTATTTATATGACCATGGTTATATATACCGAAAACCGGTATACTTTCTATTTCTAGATTCTGTAGTGGTATATACTAAACTACACCCTCATCCTCACCTAGATATTTGTCCCTAATCAAGTATTTATATGAGCATGGTTATATATACCGAAAACCGGTATACTTTCTATTTCTAGATTCTGTAGTGGTATGCCCATGCTAAACTACACCCTCACCCTCACCTAGATATTTGTCTCTAATCAAGTATTTATATGACCATGGTTATATATACCGAAAACCGGTATACTTTCTATTTCTAGATTCTGTACTGGTATCTCCATACTAAACTACACCCTCATGCTCACCTAGATATTTGTCTCTAATCAAGTATTTATATGACCATGGTTATATATACCGAAAACAGGTATACTTTCTATTTCTAGATTCTGTAGTGGTATGTCCATACGAAACTACACCCTCATCCTCACCTAGACGTTATGAACAACAAAGGTGAAAGTTTTAGAAACAGGATTAGTAGAGACAACAATGTTATCCCTAATGGACTAAGGATACGACTGTCAAGAGATGAATATCAAACGCGTAATCTTACAAGAATGAAAGCAAGGCTTGAAACGGCACGAGTGCAGTCACGTATAAAAGAAGTAAGACGAAAATTATATTCAGTAGATCATCAACGAAGGGATATTCTGACGGAATTGAAAACAACTCTTATACAAAAGGATTTCTCTTGGCTTGAACAGGTAATGAAAAATTCAGAACATAAAGAGAATAAGAAAGTGAAGGAGAGACAGATTAAGAAATATAAAGCATTAATTGATGAGAAAAGAAAGCTTGAAGAAAAGTTAAATGAAAGATTGAAAGAGCAAGAAGAAATGAGAAAGGAAAAGATTAAAAACGAAGTAATTGATCTTACTGATGATGATGTGAAGAAATATCTAGCATTGGGACCAGATTTTTCGGAAGCTCCCACACGAGTACCATATGAGAAAATTATTTCAGAGACAGAGAAAATGTGTTCGGTGATTGACAAGGAAGGGGAATTGAAAGAAATTGATAAAGAAATCGTTGAACGTGAATTGAGTGACGTACGTGAAAGTATGAGAATGATTTTAGAAAAAGCAAGACACAGGAAGTGTCAAACTAACTTGACAAAGGATGAAATGAACGGAAAGAAAAAAGCTATGATGGACGAGAACAGAGTATTTCTACCAGCGGACAAAGGACGTATTATGGTAGCAATGGATAAATGGGAAAGTGAGCGAAAGGAACAAAGCTATGAATATAAAATGAAGAATGTACTTATTGACTTGAAAGCAAAGCCATCCATAAGGGGAGGAAAAGATTGGGACTTGACTCAAAAAGTTTGCCGAGAAGGATCGAAGATCGTAGAAAGAATTGTAAGAAAAAATGAGTTATCCGAGGAAACTGGTAATTATTTAAAACCGAAAGATTGCCATGCTCCTAGATTATCGGGTTTGCCGAAAATACATAAGGACGGTGTTCCAATGAGAGAAGTAGTGTCAATGGTAGGTTCACCGTTCGAGAAAGTGTCAAAATTCCTTATCCCGATCTTACGAGTGATACAGGGAAGAAGCGGTTTATACATAAAAAATTCGCGAGAGTTAAAAGAGAAAGTAAAGAACTGGCGGCTAGAGAGAAACGAGGTTCTTGTGAGTTACGATGTAAAGAACCTGTATCCATCAATTCCAATTGAAAGAGCGTTAAGGTTAGTGGAAAGATTGCTGAGGGAAAGCAAGAAGTTAAAGGATATAACAGGTCTGAGCGTTGGATCGGTCATGGAGTTATTGAAGTGGGTGTTTAACCTGACGTACTGTGAGTACAATGGGAGTCATTACGTTTTGGAAAGTGGACCGATTGGGCTTGGAGCAACGGGTGAGATCGCGATGATATTCATGGAGGAATTTCAGTTACGGGCAATCGAAACGTCACCATATCCATTGAATGAATGGTTCTGGTACGTTGATGATAGTGAGATAAAGTTAGAAAAAGATCAGTCGGATGTGATACTTGACCATCTAAACAGCATTGAAAAGGGGATAATCGAGTTTACCAAAGAAGAGCAAGAAAATGATGTTATCCCGGTTTTGGATCTGAAACAGAAAATCAACAGGAAAACGAAACAGATCGAATGTATGGTTCACTACAAGAAAACACATACAAATATAAATGTGAAGGAAAGATCAAACCATCCCTCCTCAATGAAGAAAGGTATAATTAAAGGATTTGCAGATCGTGCTCGAGCATTATGCGATCCTGGATATGTAGAAGAGGAACTGAAAAACATTGAAGATGTGTTTGTGGCTAATGGATATGACAGAGAGACAGTGAAACGGTATATGAAAAACAAAGAGGAGGATACGAATGAGTCGACAGATTCTAAAGATGAGGAATGTTGTAGAGGAATGGTGGTTATACCGTATTTACAAGGAATGTCGGAGCAGTTCAAGAGAGTCGCTAAGAAGCATCGTTTCCGTACCGCATTCAGACCTGGGAATAAAGTGAGACAAATAAAAACAAGGGCACAGAAACCACTGGGAGAGAAACGGAAGACTGTTGTATATGAATTTAAGTTCCTTGCAAATGTGATGAGGCGGTTTATGTGGGAGAGACTTGGCGCTTGTTTGGAACTAGAAAGAAAGATCATATGAGTAAAGTTCGATTGACGGGAGAGGACATAAAGAATGGAAAACTAAAGTCGGCAGAAGAAAGAATGGGTAAGGAAGATGGAGGTTTGGCGAGACATAGCGTTGATTGCGAGAGTGGGATTGATTGGGAGAAGGCACGAGTGATAACAACTGAAAATGGATTAAAACAAAGGAAAGTGAGAGAAGGAATTGAGTCTTTAAGAGAACAATATAATGGCTACACGGTTTTGAATAATTTCGAACAATTGGTGATGTGGAGACCATTGTTAAATAAGTATTTTAATAAGGAACGTGTAAACAAGAACACGCGCGCGCAAGTGCATATTGACGCACGCGCAAAATGACGTGACTGACAGTTACGTTAAATCGTCAGCATTTTTGAATATAACATCAACAACAATTGTCGCCTGAAGACGGACATTTAAAATGTCCGAAACGTTGCAAATTAAATTAAATTAACCTTTTGTATAAATCCTTGAGAAATAAAAATAAGAAATAAGTTATGAACAACAAAGGTGAAAGTTTTAGAAACAGGATTGTATTGTATTGTTTATAAATTGTTGACAAATCGCTCGCAGTACGTTTCATAGTGTTTTGTAATGCCTAATGGCGCAATAAGGATAAAAATACCACCGTTCGATTCAGCGTTAGAAATTGTACTAATTAAGGATTTCAAATGTATTACTAAACAACAGTGTTCTAGCGATTTATGGTCTTTGTTGTTGACAAACGCTCAAAATTATTAAACTATAAATGTCTAATTATAAAAAAATGCAGTACGTTTGATCCTTGATAACTTTGGTATCATTGGTGTTCTCTTTTTCGGCCGTATACCAGTGGATTCGTCTAACTTCTCTCTTCATTTTGATAGTATTTTGAGCCCAAAACATTTTATTTTGAACGTTTTAAAGCACAGGTTAATCCTAGCGTACGGACAGTCTTGAACTGAAGATTGTATAGCGTACTAAATAAACTTTACTTGTAGGGTAGGGCCTACCGTAGCCTGGATTCCAGAGCCTTCGACAGTAAATGAATAAATTGACATGTCGCGAAGGTTACTGTCGAAGTCTCTGGAATCCAGGGTAGGCCTACCGCATTTTAGTACTGTGTTTAATTAAGCCTTTCGGGCTCGTTTTCGACTTTTCCGCTTAGCTGGGGAGAACCTTGGTTGTTTACCATTTACATGTAAAACCCATCCGGTTTGAAATTGTGCTAATGGTAAGCAAAATTTCGGATAGAAAATCCCATTCGGATTATTCGCTTTCCATCTAATAATTTCAATTGTTAAATCGCGAAGAACCTGGAACTGGTTAAAAAAAAAATTAAAAATGTAAATGGAACAACATTTACCGGTTGAAACTTTCCAATCGGTAAGAGAGGACAACCTTTTCAAACAAACCGTTTATTCCGGAAAAGTTCCGGTAGGGCCGTCGAAATATGCTTGTTCCATTTACTTTCCGTATGGAATCACCGGAATTTCCATGTAAATGGTAAACAACCCTTATATCTTAATTAAAATAACTGTGTACTGCATGTATTATGTGTGACCATGTACAGTAATGTGCGTATTTGTACAGCCCCAGCGAGTTAACGCTCCATAGAGCGTCTTGTTTAACAATTATTCGCTGAAGGCGAGGTGATTATCGGTAAATAAAAACCGAGACGAAGTCGAGGTTTTTATCCACGATAATCACCGAGCCTGAGGTGAATAATTGTTTTAGTATAATTTCATAGGTGATTATTTGGAAAAAATATAAAAAAATACATATTTCTTCGTCATTTAATTGATAAAACGGTCTCGGCCGCCATTTTGAAAATCGCTTAGGTGATTATCGCGTAATAATCACCTCAACGGCAACCAATCAGCGTGGAGAATTTTCAATAATCACCTATATAATTATACTAATATATATAATTTATTACAACGACTATATCTGGGTGTTGAAAGTCATGTGACCGGCCGGTGCCAGGGCCTTTTCCCGCCTTCCCAATGACAAAAAGGGAACGAGGTTGGCGAGAAAAAATTTCAGACGCGAGAAAAAATTTCAGACGCGAGAAAAAATTTCAGACGCGAAAAAAAAAGTTGGACGCGAGAAAAAATTTCAGACGCGAGAAAAATAGTCAGGCGCGAGAAAAAAATTCAGACGCGAAAAAAAAGTTAGACGGGAGAAAAAATTTCAGACGCGAGAAAAATAGTCAGGCGCGAGAAAAAAATTCAGACGCGAGAAAAAATGTTAGACGCGAGAAAAAATTTCAGACGCGAGAAAAAAGTCGAGAAATATGAAATTCAAGCGCAATATTTCACAACCTCGTTCCCAGTCTCTTTGCTCTTGGGAAGCAAAGACCCTGGTCGGAGCTGGTCACGTGACCCATAGAAAATTGATAGCCCAAAAGGGGGATGGAAAAGTCTCATATTACATGTTTCCACTTCCGCACTTCGCTTGCAAGGAGTGGCCGTTCTATAAAATCATCTAATTCATCTTCGAGAATCATATATACCTCAAACTATACTTGCTGAATTGGTTTCTGTTTGCTTTTAAATTATACAAACATGCTAAAATGCAGATTCTTATAGCAACAGAAAATTCAAGAAATCAAGCAACGAGAACGTATGACTGTACGCTTTGAAATATTTTTATTTTCTCGGGTTTCGCCAGTTCGGGCGTGGTTTGATTTCACGCGTACGTTTCTGTTCTGGCTCTGATATTTATAATATGTTTATAATATGCCAATGAATTGTTCTGATATGGACACGGTATAAATTTTTGTTAAGCAGATGTCTCAAAAGAGACTGTTTATAGGTTGTAGGATTAGCGCCTTGCCGGTCTTAAACGTGACACATTTGGACACAAGCCAAATACACATTGAATGTCTACTCTATTGATTCTAAAACTGTTTATAGACATATTGCTCTAGATTTTTTTTAAAAGGTTATCATCGTTTATATTAAACACCAGGAAGACAAAATATAACATACAAAATTGTTTGAAATCGACAGTGCACAGCTGACATACGACAATTCACAACTGCATGAATTTTCTTTTTTGTCTGCACGAGTACCTGTTTGTTGAAGCCAAAATATTGCACAGTATCTCCTATAAATTCTATCGCCATTTACCCTCTCCCCTTAAATGCAAAGGAATGACAGCGGAAAAGGTTTAGCAAAGTATTTTTTATTACATCTGGTATATTAAAGTGTCCTATACGTTTTATCAGGGATATACATAATTCATAAACTGTATATGCACACAAAGTCTCGCTTATATTTATAATGAGTTTTTATACTGTAACAAACCTTTTAAAGTTTCCATTGATAGATAGGTTGTTTGCCTGCAGTATTGTTTGGTAAAACAGACTAAACTTCTAAAATGTCGGTTACAGAATACGATATTAAAAGATTAAAGTTGATTTAAATATTGATAACTCACAGCGGCATTAATCCATTATACAAGTCTAAAGAAGCTGGATTACTCTTCAATAAAGCCCTCAATGGACAATGCCAATGTCAATGAAAGGTCTAATATTATACATTTGCAAATTACTATATACACAAAATATGAAATAATTTATATAAAGTACAACACCAGTGTCTTGCCCTTGGCGTTTGTGTGACAACAGATAGCTAGCTACACTTCGACATTATCTTTCTTGATCATTGAGTTTCAGCAATGTAAATGAAATGAATTTTATAGCCAGTCCATAACGGGTTTTAATCCTGTGCTTTTACAGCCAAAATAGCACTATTGTTTACATGTTGGCGATGTTTGGGAAATCAAAGGATCCCGTTATAAAATAAATCTTTTGTTTTGAATATCGGACAGGATACACTTCAACTATGAAGAACCATATCGTTCGTTTAATACCGTTTGATCGATCAGTCTGTGTAGAAGATATGGATGTTTCATGTTTCTACCGTCGGCGATAAGTGCTAAACTTCGTGAGCCAGGCGCGTGTGGGGTGTTTTCCTTGCAAGTGAAATATGATCCAGCTTCTCGACTGAAATGTAACGCAACACTTATTATTGATGACATTCAGTATAGCAGGAAGTCATGATCGGTACGAATTTAGAACAGTTCCTCTCACAATCTCTTGTTGCAAATTACATTTTTATCAGCCGGAATTATAACACATAAAGTTGCAATTATCCAAACGCAACAGACTCCTCTACTACCCCTCCCTGAGGTCAAATTCAATTTACCCCCAAAATCTGGGGGTTCACGTGACCAGCTCCGACCAGGGTCTTTGCTTCCCAAGAGCAAAGAGCCTGGGAACGAGGTTGAATATTTCAATGGCACTATTAAATACGGCTCCAACCTCGTACCCAGGGCTTCTGCGCTTATTGCTCTCAAAAGCCCTGGGATAATCCAAACCGGAACACCATAGAACAGTGGTGCCCCCGGAAGCGGAAGTAAACAGTAGCTCCAGCTAAAAACGCTGACTGGGCATATTTTTACGCAAGGAGTGAGAATGGATTATTTGTTGCAATTTATGATATATTTGGACTTGTAAAGACGTCTTAAACTGCTTCTCGCGTGGCTTTTGGAATTTCAAGTCAGGAATGATCAATTTAGAGATACAATTATGCGTAAAATTAGCCCTTTGGCGAGCAAAAGAACATCTTATATCGCGACAACAGCATACCTTGTCAGCGATATACAGGGGCTATTCAATAATTAAAGTATAAATATTTATATTCGAGTACAACCTTGGTCATTTCAAAATTAACAGACTAGAAATCTTACTGGTAACATGGCTGGCTGCCGATTATCTTGGATTTGAGGGTTTTGAACAAGATATTGCAAGATTTAATTATAAATGCACAAGATATACTGTACTGTAAACATGCATCTACTTGAAGAATGTAAAATGAACAGTGATGAGTGATCACTGATGTAATATAATTCTGTACTTTAATATTTGGAAAACCTTTTTGGCAAATCTTGAGAATAATGGCTTTGGGAATCAATGTTGAAAATTGAAAACTGTCAGATAGCTGCATGGACAGCATGGTTAGAAGCATACATGTCATCGGATGAAACTCCAACTTTTGTTAATTGCCGATGTTCTAGTATTGGAATGAACAGTGTTATAAGAACCAATGGTGCTGAACTATTTTGGGTTTATTATAAAATATTGTTTATCATTTAGTTCTGGCCATTAACCTTACCTATTAAGTTACACATTGTGTCTTACTTTTTATTTTACTCTGGTGTGCACCCCCCCCCCCAGGCTCTGGTCAACAGGGGTGCATGTGAGGGGGGGGATGCAAAAATGATGTTTATCCCAATTCTAACTAACTTATGTTAAGGAATTCAGTTGGGTATCACTAGTTGACAATAGTGGAATAGCCAATATTAAATATTCTGAATTTTTTAAATGTTTTGAGAATCTAAAAATTTTCCAAAATGTTTTCTCAGAATGCTGGAAATGCCATTTCAGAGACCCAAATTTTAAAAATTTTCTGTGGTACTATGCCCGGCCCGGACCACCCTAGAAATCTCACACCTTCGGCGCTTGTTTCGCCATTGGTTAGCACCCCCCAAAAAAACTTTGCTGGATCCACCACTGCACCAGATGATTTTATATGTTGGGATAGATCATTGGTGTTCAATGGATTATCTCATAATACACACTAGTTTGTTAACCTACTCTAACACCATCATTGGCAATGGAATTGAGCAGTGATGTAGCCAGAATTTCTAATCAAGGCCTTCAAGGGGGACTGAAATCCCCAGGAGGGGCCTGCACTAGTTTGAATAAAGTTTGTTAGTATGTAAAAATATATTTGGACTCCCAAGCTATCCATGTATAATATAGTACAATGTAAACTTTTTAAATTCTAGTTAATAAAGTGCCATTTTGGGGGGCTATTTTAATGTGTTTTGGTGATTTGAAATAGCCTTGCAGTTAACACATGTTCAACTCTAATTAATTACAAACAAGTTCAGAACATTTAAAATATTTTGACTCCCCCCTCTGGTTACACCACTGGAATTGACTTGAGCCTTTTAGACCTCTGAATTTTAGTTGCAACTTAGAACAGTGTTCTCACATACAAGAAAATTGTAAGAAAATTTAAAATTTGTGCAAAAGCATTTCTCAAATAGGTCGTTCCAGAAAATATCCACACTCCCCCCACAGAGGAAATTTCTGCCGTTCAGAGGGGGAGGGGGAAAAAATTGTTTCTGATAATAATAAATGTATTAGGACATCCAAAGGGGTATGAGGGATTAACTTTCAATTTCCTCTGTGGGAGTGGTATGGGTGTTTTCTGGAATGACCCAATATAACTGTGTTTTTTTCCCAATCTAATCAAACTGTCAATCCTTGTACATGGGGAGGGGAAATTTTGGAGAAATAAAAATTGTGACCAATCAGGTTGGGGGTCCACCTGTAGGCCTGGTCATAGGCGTACAGGGCGGGGCTCAATTGTTGGGCAGACTAGGCCAGTCGGGCAATATTGACTTCACAGTTGGGCAATATTGGCTTATTATAAAAATAAATAGGAGAAATTATTCCCTCAATATTGGGGGAAATATGCTAAGTATATAATGGACGAAATTTAGTTCATTTTGATTAATAGTCATTTAATATATGTGCTATCAACAGTTTCTTTATGATATTAAGTGATAGATTACAATGTTTGTACATTAGAGATTTAGAGGCACTAATAATCAATAATAAATAGGCACTAATACAAACTCTGAGCCAGTGCACCCAGCATCCTCAAATTGGGAATAATTTGTAAATTTAAATATTTGTGTATAATTCATAATTTATCCTATTCCAATACAAAATGCAATAATATAGAACACACAATTTATCAAATAAAGGTAAAAAGGTATTAAAAACTTTATTATGTAATATTTACATTGAATATCGTGGTTGAAGTTGTAGATTTATACTTGAAATTTCAATTTTCGAACGAGAAATGTTTCGCTTTATTATGTTAATTAAATTTTTTACTTTGTTCGCCATTCTTGCTTATTTACAAATACAAATAGTCCATTCCTTCTTTTGTTCTTTTCAAAATAGCCCAGAATTTGGTTTAAAAAAGTATTTTCATGCAAAAACCAGCATTTAACTTTTGTATACACTCCTTGTGATAGCAGCCATGTTGCCAAAATATCACCCGGTTAATGAATAACTTGCGGTACTTTCATTGTATTCGCATTGACCAATCAAATCACGTTCTGAGTTGGATTATCCCAGGGCTTCTGAGAGCAATAAGCGCAGAAGCCCTGGGTACGAGGTTGATACGGCTCCGTATTAAAATACGGCTCCGTCTCATTATATTAACTATGGTTAGATTGTGTGTTATACTTTTTGTCCTCAAGATTTCTCCAAGTTGTACAAAGTCAATTATATTCATTGGATGCACAAAGAGAAAAGAACGCTGGTAAGTACTGATCAAGTGCCATTTGAGCTAGACTGCAGTTTAGCGGCCGTTTGTCAAACTCACATGTGTTCGTTTTAGGCCGTGAGGTAGTGGCTCAAAATATGGCTAGAAACCGATTTTCATTGTACACCTCGCTAAGCTAAAAAATACATACATATTCTTATAGATTTAAACACGCTGAATCCAAATCTAAAAAGTTCTTGCGGCTTCACCCTGCAGTTTTTTTTGTAAATTGCGATCAAAATCTTAAAATTTACGAGTTTTGCAATAGCATTTTACTATATGCCATACCTCAAAATGCGTACTCTTGGAATCAGTCCTCGCGCGCCCCATAGTGAAAATTATACAGGATAGGTCACTTCCGCCTACTCTTGAGATATGTGAATTCAGATTTGATGTAACAATGAGCAACACGATTTTCAAATTTCATATATTATTGCGACAAAGCGTATTTTCTGGCTTTGTACGAAGATATTTAGCAACATCAGGCATTCTTTCAAGATTATGAACTTATGTGTACACTATTTCATCCTTATGGCATGTAATAAAGGACGAAATAAACTACAATTTTATATTTTGAAGACAGAATAATGGACATACTGTACTATTTGGATATTTGGATGGTAAACCAAAAACTATCAAATACTTAATAGTGAATATATAAAATACATATTTCAACAATACTATAATTAATACCATATTCTTTTGAGTAATTAATAGCACATTAGCTTTCTTTTCGTGTAAAACTACATAAATTCACCATCATCACAATCCATTCCTCCTCAATCCTCATCAAAGCACTGTGATCAAAGTCATTGACAATTGTCAATTAGCTCTTCATCTATTTCACTGTTCTCAGAGTTGCTGCATTGGCAAAGTTCAGTGCACTTCAAATTTGCTTTAAAACATGAGCAGCATCTTTTTGTTTGACAAGCCTTTTTGCATTCACAGCTAACAAATTCTATAAAGATGCTGTTGGCTGTCTGGAGCAAGCCCTTGGGACCAAAAATTTGTAACCAATAGAAAGAATGTTACCTCTTCTGTAGAAATGAGCTCAGAAATGCAATTATAATTGCATCCATCTTCATTCATAGCGTGATGATAGTGTATAAATGTATAGATTATAGAGTGATGTAACAAATGTTGCATGACATGTGCATTTTTAGCCAATCTGGGGCAAAATATTCTGGGGGAGCATTGTCTCCTTCATATATAGCTGCTCTTTGTGTCGAGGTTTCTCTCCATGAGCGACTGCTCACTCAAGCACAACATTCCATTCCTTTTTTCTCAGTTACCATTACTTAGTCATGCTGCATATAACATTACTGCAGATAACATTAATCAGTTATGTGTTTGTCTGTCTTGGTGGCTAAAATTTGACAATTACTTCCAGTATGCAAACATGCTGCTAGTGTGCATGCAAAAGCACTTGTTTATAAATTATAAGACAAATTAAAGGTTGGCTTTGTTTAAATCTATAAAATATGGATGGATCGATGTTCATTTAAATTTAATAGTCCCAGTCTGATTTTGTTGCATATGGCGTAAAAAAAATACCTGTGGTTCCGGTTTCCGACCGACCCTATTTTGTTCTGCCGACCCTATTATTTTTTCAATGCGATTGACCGTGCGACCCTATTTTCTCCAGGTGGTTGCAGGCTGCTCGTACAGCGTGGCAAAATGGCATCTGTTGTCACACTAATTATTGAACCAAATTGCCTAAATTCATCCATAGGAAATACGCATGTCTGGTTAATATTGATGTCGGGACTCTACTGCAAATCGCCCAGCAAAAAACGGCATGTAGTAAAACACTGACTACCGGAACACCGGAACACCACCGGAACACCACCGGAACACCACCGGAACACCACCGGAACACCACCGGAACACC